ACACACACACACATATACACACACACACACATATACACACACACACACACACATATACACATACACACACACACACACACACACATATATATATTTGTGTTTTTTTGGTTTTGTTTTTGAGTCAGAGTCCCACTGTCACCCAGTCTGGAGTGCAGTGGCATGCTCATGGCCACCACAGCCTCAACCTGCTGGGCTCAGGCAATCCTTCCTGAGCCTTCCAAATAGCTGGAACCACAGGCAAACACCACCATGCCTGGCTAATTTTTTTATTTATTGTAGAAATGAGGTCTCACCAATTTGCCTAGGCTGGTCTTGAACATCTGGACTCAGGCCATATAGTTGTTTTAATTGCGCATCACTCTGGTGCAAAACCAGTTTGTTTAAAAATGCAGTTTAAATTACTCCAATTCACTCTGAAGTCTAACCGGAAATCTACATTTCCTGTACATGACAAAAGTAGGCTGGTGGCAATAGATGAGAAAGCATTTTTTAAGTATTACTGTCCTTATTGGTATAGGGTGGGCAAATTATAAAATAATGGAGCAGCAGTTCCCTTAGAGGCAGACTTTTTTACATAAAGAACAAATGGATTAATATTGTAAAGTGCTTTAGAATGTTTGGCAAATATTAAACACTATATGCTGTTGCTGTCGTTATTATTTGAAAAAAAATTCCAGGTAACATTCCTAATTTAGCAAGTTACTATTGAAACCTGTAATAATTCTTACAATAGTATCTTTAAAAATGACTTTAAAAGCATGTAAACCTTTCAAAAAACAAACTACTGAATTTCCTTATGATAATATTACTTAACACTGGTGACTTTATGTATCTGAGCATGTTCATTTTGAAGGCATAACCTTTCATTTAATCAGGTCAAGTTGAGTCAATATTTAATGATCAATTCACTTTGCTCTAAATCTGAGGTCCCCAAGCCCTGTGGCTTGTTAGGAACCAGGCTGCACAGCAAGAGATGAGCAACGCTAGAAGCTTTATCTGTATTTACAACCACTCCCCATCATTCCCGATCACCTGAGCTCTGTCGTCAGATGAGCTGCGGGCATTAGATTCTCATAAGAACGCAAACCCTATTGTGAATTGCACATGCGAGGGATCTAAGTTGTGCCTTCCTTATGAGACTCTAAAGCTTGATGATCTGAGGTGGAGCTGAGATGGTGTACAGATTAACATGAGCAGTGAAGTTTGAGTACACAGCAACCAGGATAAATCAATTGCTTGCAGACTCATACAGAATCTCTATCAATAAGTGGCAAGTTGATATACTTCAATTGTACAGCTGCATCTGGTGGTGGACTTTAAGTCAGAATTCAACACTTATTTTAGTCCATGTGTGGCCCACCCATTATTTTATTTACCACTTCTGTTCACGCCTCTTTCCCACACTGCACACTTATCTCAGTCACAGTTTTGGCAAGCCTACAAGCTAACTCTAGCCAAAATGAGTAAAAATCAAACGTCACTGGAGAGCTTCTTTGTAAAGGGGGAAAGACCCAATGATGAGACAGCAGAAGACTCTAAGACTGCCATCGAAAAGAAAGTTGCATTTAAAAGAAAATATCAAGAGTCCTACTTAAATTACGGATTCATTGTAACAGGTGATTCACATTCTCCAACCCCGCTTGTATAATATGTGGTGACTGGCTATCCACCAAAGACATGAAACCTTCAAAACTGCTTTGCTGCATAGACAAACCATCCGGCATTAAAAGGCAAGTCGTTGGAGTTTTTGTTTTTGTTTTAAACATGAACATGAAGAAAATGAAGTAATTATTGAAAACCATCACTTCACTGAAAGTGTCTGCATTGAGAGCATCATTCTTAGTGCCAACCACATTGCTAAAATTAAGATACCCTTTACTATTGGTGAAGAGTTGATCCTGCCTGCTGCTATGGACATTTCTCATGAACTTTTAGGTGAGGATGCAGTTCAAGAGGTGGCACGTGTTCTTCTTTCAGCCAGCACCATAACTAGACGAATTGATGAAATAGTAGAGGATACTGAGGCACAATTGTTAGGATTAATGAGTCACCATGGTTGACGAGTCTACCGATTTGACAACAAGGCAATAATGCTTGTTTTTGAGTGATATATTTTTCAAGGAGGATATGCATGAGGGTATGTTATGCGTACTTCTGTTGCCAACCAATACCACAGTTGCAGAACTAAATAAGTCTTTGAATGATCACATATCAGGAAAACTGAAATGGTTATTTTGTGTTGGTATATAGGCACTGACGCAGCGGCTGCCATGACTGGACAGCTTTCTGCTTTCACAACTTGGGTCAAAGAGGTCTCTTCCAAATGTGAATCTACATACTGTGTAACCCATAGAGAAATGCTAGCCAGCCAAAAAATGTTACCAGAACTTAACAACGTTTTGCAGGATGTTATTAAAATTATCAGCCACATTTAAGTACATGCTTTTAACACACATCTGTTCACACAGTTCTGTGAGGAGATGAATGCAGAGCACACATATCTTCTCTTATACACAGAAGTGAGATGGCTTTCTAAAGGTAGATCACTGGCCAGAATTTTTGACTTATAAGAGCTGCTCCAGAGATTTCTTTTAGAAACACAGTTACCACTGGCAGCACATTTCAGTGACACAGAATGGGTCGCAAAACTTGCTTGAGTGACATATCCAACTTGCTCAACGAACTCAATCTGTCACTTCAGGGTTTAACAACAACTGTGTTCAAGTCAGCAGGTAAAGTGGCTACAATCAAAGCCAAATTGGAATTATAGGGGTGATGAGTGGAATTATAGGGGTGATTCCAAATTGGAATTATAGGGGTGATGACTGGGATTTTTCAAACATTAGCAGAGATTTTGAAAGAGACTGAATCAGGACCTTCTTTCTCCCGGCTGGTGCATGATCACCTGTCTCAGCTTTCAAAAGCGTTTGAGCATCACTTCCCAATCTTAAAAGACCCCGAACTGGGAAGGAATGGATCCACCACCCATTTGTAAATAAGCTAGGTGAACTGATCTTGCGCTTAGCAGAGGATCAACTGCTTGAGATCGCAAATGTCGGTGGACTTAAAAGGATGTTCGAGACAACTTCAAATCTCCATACATTCTGGAGTAAAGTCAAGGAGAAATATCCTGAGATTGCTACAAAAGCACTGAAAGCTGGCTTCCATTTTCAACATCTTATCTTTGTGAAGCAGGGTTTTCTGCCTTGATAACAACCAAAACAAGATTACAGAGTAGACTGGACATAAGCAACACACTTTGGGTATCATTGTCTCCCATCACCCCCAGATGGGACGGTCTAGTTTCAGGAAAACAAGCTCAGGGCGCCCACTGATTCTGCATTATGGTGAGTTGTATAATGATTTCATGTTATATTACATCTAATAGAAATAAAGTGCTCAATAAATATGATGTGCTTGAATCATCCCGAACCACGCCCCTCCCATGCCAAAAATGTTGGGAACCGCTGTTCTAGGTATAGCACTGAGAGTTCAAAGACAAGACAATGGGAGGTGAGTGTTCCAAGAATTATAATATAAATAACATTTCAAATCCAATTCAGTTATACTTTAAGTGATTTGATGAGTTTACGGATATGTAAAAGTATACTACTTTAAAATGAGTATGGACTCCAAAGCAACTCCGCCACCAGAAAGCGTCTTCTGTAAACTATATTCAGTCCCATGTTTGAAAATTAGGAAGGCAACCTCTGCCCAAGTAAGAACAGTGAAAATCCGCCCCAGTGCAACGTAGAAAAGAGTCAGGATTCAACCCCCTAGTCCTAAGGTCCTCTAAGAGCGGTCCGCCTTCTCCCGAGGACTACAGGGTGTTGAGATTGAGATAGATCCGGATAGAGGGCCAGGGGGTCCCGAGACGGAGATGATAATCGAGCTTCTTGACAGGCCGGGTCCTCCCAGCTCTGGTTAGGAAGCCGGTCGGAGACTCACACGACACAGTGGGAGAGCGCCGGGCCCCGACCTCCCCGCGGGCCCTGCGCCCAGGCCCTCCCGGAGTCGCCCCGGGCCCCGCGCGCCTGCGGGGCTGGAGCCCGCCCTGGCGCCGGCTGGCCGAGGTGTCCGGCTGCTCCTTGGCGCCCCCTGGCCCGGCTGCGGCGCCCGAGGTTTCCGGTGAGCGGCAGTCGCCGGTTATGACGACTCCCTCCTCCCCAGCAGCCGCCGGCTCCTCCTCCTCCTCCTCCTCCTCGGTAGTCACGGCGCCCGCGGCTCCAGGTGGGACTCGCCCGCGATCCGCGGAGCCTCTGCCCTCTCCCCTCCCCGCCCCGGCGCGGCCCCCGGAGGCTGTTCGTCTGTCCGCGGACTCCGCCCGCGCGGTCTTAGGTCCTGCGGGCCGGGCGCCG